AACTCATTGGTTGTTGGTCTTCCATACAGTTTGATTTTCTGGCAGTTCTGGTTATTTTTTGTTTTTAAATGTGTTGTCCTTTTTTTGTTTGTACAAGGAGGCAAAGTGTATCTACCCACACTTTCATCTTGCCCGGAAGTCTTAAAGATTGTTTAAATTAAGGCAAGAAGACATATAATAATGATAAGGAGTAACAATCAGGATGAAACTTAAGTCAGAATTGTGCCATTATTTTTTTTTTTTTAAGAGAGACCTTCAGAATAATGTTAGATGGTGATAAGTTGAGGCTGCCATTCTTCTCCCTGGATATTCTTCCTCCCCAGCCACCCAGACCCCACCATCTTTCATGGCCCACTCACAAAGCTATCCTTCACCCCCATAGCCAGAGTTAATCTCACCTCCTGTGAGCAGCAAGAGCATTTCACAGTTGATCTGGAGCTGTTTTGATAGTTGTCTCATTTCCTTAAGGATTGTAAGCTCTTTGAAGACAGGGTCCACAACTAGTTCATTTTTGCACCCCTCAATATCACACCGAATAGATGCTCTACAAATCTTTGATGAATGAACTGGAACATAACTCTTCAACTATGTTAGGAAACCGAGTCTCTGTTGGGTCCATTGTCTCAGAGATAAGCTCAATAATTGCAACAGGTTCAGAATAGAATCATGGAACAAAATCATGAAAGAGTGAGAGAAACAGAACCTGTATTTGGGGGTGGAGGGAAGGTCAAAGAAGTTCAGCCTAGAGGAGTGAACTTGGGAAAGTGATATCAAGGGATCTTCAAACATATTGAATATTAAAGAGATAATATTAAAAGAAAGTCTGATGTTCTTTTTTTGGAGCAAAACAAAACATTACTAAGATTTTAATGGCAATATCAGTAAGCCTGCTGAAGACCTACCAGAGTATAGACACTACGGTGGTGTGATGAAGGGCTGGGGTAAATGTCATGCCTTTTTCCATCCCTACAAGTATGACAAGAAGGACTCTGGTAAATTGTTTTTTGCAAAATTACTTGTGAAACAATAGCAGTCTTTTAAGTTTTAGGATTTTTCTCCCCCAAGATGCTGAAACCTGTGTTAAAGGAGAAGAGGGGTTTAGCCCAGGAAAGAATGGGAAAGACTCAGCCTGGGATTTGGAAAGCAAAATGGGACCAGCCACAGAGAGAGACAGCCTTTGATGTCCTGAGGATCAAGGACTGAGGCTTAAGGACCAGACTCTTAAATCACGTGGCATTTACTGCCCTAGATTAAAAAAAAATACTTTTGTGGATCAGTGTCTGTGGTTCAAAATGGCAGGTTTCCAAAATCAGTCTTAACTCTCCAAGGGTAACATTTGGAAGGCCCCCTGTAAGAACGGAGTGGAGCCAGTTTCTACAAGGGGCAGCTTAATGATTTTCTACTTCCCCCACCCCAAAATCATTAAACAGTGCTCCTTTCCCAGAGCCCAAGTTCAAGCTGAGGGCAAAGGGAATTAAACGAAGAAGCTGAAACTGCAGCTAAGATTAGGGAGTTGCCAAGGGCCTAATTTTAGGTCCTCGCTGCCCCAGCTGACGTCCTGCTCTGCTGGCTCAGCCTTGAGGACCACAAGCGTGGCCATAGGCCCGCGACTGCGTGAGAAGAGCGTCTCCCTGGCCATCTGCGAAAGCAATTAGCTTGGTGTTGGTGTGTTTTGAGAGAGACTCCCCATAATTTCTCCTTCAACAAATGTTTCTTCAGGTGTTCAGGAGTCAATAAGGGAAAACGTCAGCCCTGGGCAGAAGTTCCCACATGCTTGCCATTCTAATATTCACGCTTCTCCACTTCAGAGTTCTTTCCAAAGGGGAACTAATCCTGGAATTCCTGGATTTTCATGGCAAGTAACCCTCTGATTTCCATTGGCCATAAGCGTACTTCATGACCTGGAGAAAGGGTTGCTCAGGACTTCGCAGGCTTTGTGAAAATAGACATGGATGGATGTGAGCAATTCTTGCATTTGGGGGAGCATATCTATGTCATTCTTCCACTGGGGTTTAGGCTGTCCTTCTGCTCTTCACATATTTCCCACCCACGGGTTTCATGCTTAAATTGTCTTCTTCAGAGGGCAGACAGTAAGAGCTGGCATCTCCCAGATCAAAGGGGAAACAGAATATATTTTAAAGTGACAACTTTGTTATCCTGCAACCAGAATAATAAAATGATATAAATATAAGCCCCTAAATCACTCCATATTGAATTGTCACCAGAGAGCAAAATTTCTTGCATAATTATGGCAGGGAAACTCTCTTTACAAACCACTCAAAAGAGCATGTCTTATTTTTGCACAATTCTTATGCCTGGGGCAACCCACCAGGGATGTAGATATAGATTCTGCGTCTCTACTGGTCGGGAACTATAACTGGTTGGTGTTCCCTGTCTGCAAAGGAGGCTCTTAATGAAGGCTCATGGCAATGGGCAATAAAAAAGTCGGCGGGTACTGCCAGACCAAGGGAATGCATCCCTTAGAGGATGTGCCCTTGGCAAAGGCCACTCTTGTCAAGGTACACAAACTGGCCCCAGCTGCTTCTCTCTTTTCCTCTATTTTTCTTTCCAATTTTCCTGGCAGGTTTGCTTTCCCTGTCTACTTGTCCCAAGTCCCATCTGTCGGTCTGTCTCTAAACCTACCCACACCCCCTCCCACATGCACACATACATACACACACGAACCCCAACCCGCCCCCCTTCCCCTGTCTCTTGGCACTGGCCCTTTCATCTTCTCCCTCGGGGATTTGAGATGTCGCTGCAGGAAGTGCTTGTCGGCCCAGGCAGCAGCAGCAGAGCCCCGTGGCTTTGACAAACCTCATTTAATTGGGAGGAAGCCAGGAGAATTTGAAAGACCTGAAACATCCATGAAACTCCTTTTATCAGGCATAATTTAAACTCTGCATGGAAAAACCCCTATATGTATAAAGAAAAGTCAACTTCCCTCCTGCTGTGAGTGCTCTTCGTCTCCCCGCCCCCCCCCCCCACCCAAGCACAGGCAGCCTCCTGCAAGATTCCATCTTTTCATTTTTCTAAAAGTGTCAAAGTAGATTTGGGTTCTGTAGCCGGGTGAACAGAGGAGGAATACAGATCGATCTCTCTCTCATACATGCATGTGTGTGCGCACACATGCAAGCGGGGCCCCTCTGTTGGTGGCTTTGTTTCAGATGGCCAGGAAAAATCAAAACTCAAGTTTCTAACAACACATCCATTTGGACAGTGGTTGTTTCTTCCTAATTACCCTTCATCAGACAAAAGCTGATGCTCAGAAAACTTTGAAGATCCCAGCAGTTCTCTGTATGTAGAATAATAGATCCTGGAGGAGGGCCAATGGGAGAAGTTTCTGTAAGTGGAGAGAGAAGAGTGTGAGAGCGTGAGAGAGAGTGTGTGTGTGTGTGTGTACACCCAAGCTCGTATACTTGCCTGAAGTGGCGGTGAGAAGTCCTAAGCCTGAGAGAAAAAGCTAACAAAGAGAGATCCACAGGCTCAGACTGGGAGGAGGGAATGGGATGGGAGTGAGGGAGGTGGTGGGATGAAGCAGGGGGTGAGGGACCAGGAGGGAACCAGTAAGAATTATACGTCTCCTGGAATGCTTTTTATTCCACCCATATGCCAAACCCTGTCCCTTCCCTCCTTTCAAATTCCACTCCAGATTCACCTCCAGTCTAATCCATCTCACTTGACTTATTCTAGTTCCTCCAAAGAATTGCCTTTAGCAAACACATATTCTCTGAACATCTGCAGCTGATTATGCACAGACTGTAGCTGTTTAGATATGATTTGTGCTAATATGTGTATGAGGGTGCCCTGTTTCCTCTTCCTCACCCTCTTTTCCTCCCACACCGTGGGATCCTTGAGGTCAAGGACAAGCGTCTTTTTTTCCTCAATTTTTATAGCACTTAATATATTCTTGACACTTAATGGCAACTTAATAAATACTGATGACTGACTCTTCTCACAAGGTTAAGTAAGACACATTAACCCCAGTTGTGTGATTCTGTTTATTTTTGGAGATCCTAAATGACTCACTTTAATAATAAGATACCTCAAGAAATCCCAAACTAAGAGCTTTGAGCTGTTGCAGGACAATGTCTTAGATACAGCGATGCTGCATTTGTAGACCCTGGAGACTCTGGCCAGACCATATGTCCAAGGATCTTGGGCAGAAGCTCCCCATCCCATTTCAGTAACTTCTTCCCAGTCTGAGTCTGTAGGCCTTCCTTGTTAGCTTTCTTCTCTCCAGCTTAGGACTTCTAAAACATGTTTTCTGTTGAATGGTGGGTGTTTTCAAAGAAACCCCACCTAAAGACAGTCTCCCCCAAACAGCCCGGGCGGTGACCGCACGCCCACATCCTCCGCATAGCCCTTCCTGGCCACATTCTGAGAAACATGAGGAGAGCTCCAGCCACATGATCCCTCAGCAGATTTCAGATTTGGAGGATGACTTCAGGCCCAGGCAGCTAAGCTGATTTCAGGGTAACTTGTGTTTCCCGTGGGCGTTCGGCCCGGGAGGATGCTCCCCTCCCCGCAGCGCCCCGCCCCGGGACTTCCCGTGGCAGCGTCAGATTGCCAATCCAGACAGGCCCAGCTCTCCTCTCTGACATATCCATGTCACCTCTCATCTTACTCTCTATGGAAAGAGAGAAGGGGGTTGTTAGAAGCTTTGGTTTTGCTTTTCCTGGCAGATGCTAGTGAAAGTAAACTCAGAGGCAACCTTCATCTCATCTCATTTTGAAGTGTAAGTGTGCAAATGGGAAGTGTTTAGATCATTACAAAGAAGCCTGTGTCACCTCAATCCAACAGCGCTTTTGCGTTTTAGAGAATCTCACGCAACACTCAAGCCAGATAGGGTCCCACCGTGCTCCTCCTGGGCAAATTGACCTCCAGGCTCCTGTTTGGTTTTAAATTCAACGATTCTCCAGTGCTCAGAGGAAACGCTTAGACATCGAGACCAACATGTGTATATATACACGCACACATGCACACACTCCCTCACTCACCATCAGGAAGCTGATACAGCTGAGCTGGCAGGGAGCTGAAATAATCGTGCACCAGGGCTTCCTGGGCGGAGACGCGGTCTCTGGGAAAGCCTTTCAGCATTTGTGAGGCCAGGTCTTCAGCTTCGGGAATTCTGCCCAACCTGAGAAAGTAGCAGAGAAGAGAGTTTCTCCAGAGGCCTCCTTTCTGATACATGAAAGAGGAAAGAAGAAAAATAAAGAAAAGGAGATGGCTGGAAGCAGGTCCCAAATATACTGGAATTAGTAAAGATGATGGCGAGGAGAAAAATAACCCCCACACTGAAACTCTTACCTGTCCAGTTACTAAAGAAGGGAGAAAAAAAATCTCACTGTTCTATCATTCAGGGCCTACCCCCACTCCCAGCCTCCATAGTGTCTCTGGCACCATATATACATAAATGACCCAGGAGTATAATTATAGGAGCAGAAATATAGACTTTGGGATTCCTCTTTGAGGGACACAGCAGCCTCTACCAAGCAGAAAGCCCTGATTGGGAATATGCTCCAAGGGCAGCAAGCGTTGACTTCTGGAAGGGGAAGAGGAAGAGAGGCAATTTTGGAGGATAAAGCTTGGGTGGAAAATGCCCTTGTGTATAGTGTTTCTGAAGCTCAATTCCCAGGGTTATTAGCCAAAATGCTCTTTTGGTTCTCCATGAGAAGGAGCATAGGAAGGGAGATAATTAAGTACCCAAATTACAGTAAGGACAGATCCTCAACTTGACCTCATGTTGAATTATAAATCTGGAGATGCATAAATCCATCAGTTGAGCAACTATATCCTGAGAGGTGGCTACCTCTGAGAGATACAGGGAAGACTCTGCCCTCTGGCAGCTTGGTCTGGTAGAGGGGTCAGACACATCAAATTATCATACAAATGCATAAGTACAACTGTGAAGAAAAAGGCCCAGATACCTGACTAAGAGTGGGAGGAGCTAGTCAGGGAAGGCTTCCGTATTTGAGCTGAAAGCTGAGGAATTGGGGTAGGGGATGTAGGTAGAGATCTGTGGTGCTCTTACAGACCCTGGGGTGGGAGGGAGAAGAGTGAGTTTAAAGGAAGAAAGACCAGTTGGCTGGTCTAGACAAAGAAGGGGCGAGGGGCCAGATTTGAAGCTATGAAGGGTTGCAGGGGCTAATCCTCCAGGCCTTGTGGGTCTTCTTGTTTCCTATTTACTTATAATGTTTGAAAGTCTTTGCTAATCTAGCGCCAATCGTTTAAGTACATACACCCATCTCTAGAGCCCACAGAAGGGTTTACAAGTGGAAAGCCACAAGACAGAAAACTGCAGATCCCAGCAGGCAATTAACCACAGGACTAATGTCTGACATTCAGAATTAAATTGCATGGCCATGCAAATCCTCAATTAAACAAAAATAGATGGGCTTATTTAATGTCAAATATACATACTAACCTGAAGCAACAAAGAACTGATACCCTTCCCCTTCTGTGATGCAGTGAGGCTGGAAGTCTTGGCCCAGAGTGGTAATTTGCCTAATTTTTTGCATAGGATTTACATAAGAAACTTTCAGGTATTTAATTCCCATGACATAAAACTGTTTCTACAAACAGGGAACTTTACCCTCAAACTCAGATGTAATTGCTTTATACATTTAAAAAAAAATTTGTAAATCCCCAGTCCTTGCAAATTTCCAGGCCAGTTAGGAGACAAGAGAATCTAGGGCAAAGGCCTGCTTAGTAACTAGAGGCCTAAAGACGGTCTGGTCGGTATGGGTGCCCTGCCCAGGTGTAGGTTTTCTGGGCTGATTAAATAGGGTTTGTGTGAGGAAGCTGGTACAAATCGCTAGGGCCTGGTGTCGCTCTGGAAGGAGATTCAGGGAAAATCTTGTGAAAAGATTGTTGTTGGTTCACTCTTGCTATAGGGTAGTGGGGAGCGATGTATGCCAAACTTGGGTCCTGAACCCCCTCTACGAATTCCCAGGGGGTGGGGGTGGGTGGGTAGGTGGTTATGGTGAGGAGGGGGCAAAGCCTCCATCAGCACCCACCTCCACATTCCCACCCTAATCAGTGATTTGTTCTCTCTGCATACCCCTACCCATTGGCTCATAGTTGAATTGTTACAGAATTCCTCTGTAGAAGAGGTTTAGGAGCTGCAATCTGATTGGATAAGGAAGGCTACAGAGCCTGTTTTGAACTGGTGTTAGCACGGCACGCCTACTGTTTTTATTTAGACTGTGTTTATGTCAGATAGCTGGGGAAGCCAAGAAAAGCTGAAGGAGCCCACCAGGATAGTAGGAACACAGGGAGAACAGGCCACTTTTACCAGAAAACTGAAAGGAGAGTAGGTACTGATCGGTGATAGGACTCCTTTTCTAGGACTTTCCTCTTCAAGTACCTAACCCACCCCCCACCCTTCCCAAAAGGCTTCTAGTGGTGTTGGGATTTGTTTCAGTCCCATGGCCTCCAAACTATGACTGCTACCACCCACTTCCCCTGCTCCTTAGCTGGCAGAGGCAGTGACCAGGGCAAAGCATACAAGTGAAGTCTTTTCCTTCTATGAGCCAATTTCATGTTGATTTTCCTCGTGTAAACCAAATCCGTGCCCTCCTGAATATAAGCCTTTACTTAGTAAGCAGCTCGCAGTGGGGTCTCCCAACCTGGACAAGTGCCCGAGTAATCTCTTGCTGTTGGCATATTGCACTGTTATTTGGGAGCTGAAAAAAAGAGCCCCAGGAACACAAATGCTGCTTCTTTGGGCACAAATGATCATTTTTTCTCCATGCTGGTATCATTTTGCTTCTTTCTGCCATCTCCAGTCTTGCTTACTCTGGACTATCTTTATTGCTATAATTTGAGACCCACTCTAACTCCTCCTAGAACAGTTCTTCACTGGTTACAACCTCTACTTTCGATATGAAAGTTGGCATGAAAAGCAAATACCACAAATGTTCATTTGCCTACCAGCGCCTTTCCATATAGGCTGAATGTTAATAAATATTACTTGTCAGGCTTGTGATGGTAGCGACCAAACATGCCTGAAGTATCTCACAGAGTTAAGAGAATACACCTGCCCAATTAATGAGAGTCTGTTAATAAAGACAAAGAGTCCCCTGGTGAAACTCTCCTTCTAGTAACATTTCAAGAAGTGAGAAGTGTTCCATTGTTCTACTTGTTGTAGGATGCTTAAAAAATTCAGAGAAAAAAATTGAAACACTTCTCTCTCTCTTAGATAACTCCCTTCATTCAAAGAGAATCACCATTGCTTTCATGTTCATTTTTTTTCTTTAGTCCTTTATTTTTATGCTGATTTTTTTTGTTTTACCTAAAAATGGGATCATACTCTACATGTTTTAACAAAATTTTTCCATTGACTATCTTGATCACTTTCCCAGGACTTGGATTAGCTTTCTAGGACATAATTTTAATGGCTGTGTAGCATTCCATTATGTAGACATGCCATAATCTACATAGCCAGCCACGTATTGAAGTTTTTTCTTCTTTTTGTTAGGGTGTGCGGGGCTACTATTAAAATCATGCTATGACAAATATCCTCAAGGAGAAATCCTTGTGTACTTTTGTGATGATTTTCTTAGTATACCTTCTGAGAATTGAAATTCCCAGGTTGAAGAATATATAACATGTTAACATTTTTTATTAAGAACATCCTTTTCCATTCCCACCAGCAACCCAGGAGAGTTCCTGTCTCTGTATGCAAGGAAAACAAAGTCATTCCAGCTGACCTCAACTGCCACGGGCCTTGTCGCTTAGATGAGTTGTAAAGAAAGGCTAAAATTGTAAATTGACTCTAAAAGAGGTGCTGGGTGCGAGGACATCCACATTTAATTTTAGAAGTCTAGAATAGCAACACAACCTATGAGAAAAAAAATAAAATTCAGGCTTTGTGGTTGTGTAAAGCACCATCACCTAGCCCATTACTCCACACATCTAAAACCTGGTGGTTCTCAGGAACCTGAGGCAACAGCACAACCTGCTTCTGAGTATAAAAATCTCCTACTGCCATTGCTGCCTGATATCGACCTTGACAGTGGAAAGGCTTTTTCTGTTTGTAGCACAAGGCTGGTCACTGTGAGTTCAACTGGGCTCTTTGTTGTTTTCCCGTAGAGCCATAGAAAGAGAAAAAAGCAGGGATAGAGGTGGGCACATTCTTTTTCAATTTGTTTTTATTTTGAAGTAATTTTAGGTTTACAGAAGATGTGCAGGCATAATGCAGAGAGTGATCTTACATATTTCACCAGCTTCCCCTAATGTTAACATTTTACCTAACTGCAGTAAAATGATCAAAACTAAGAATTATTATTGGCACAATACTATTTACTAAGCTGCAGGCTTTATTCAAATATCTTCGTTTTTCTTTTTTCCAAGAATGACCTTTTTTTTGTTGTTTCAGGAGAGTGGGTACTTCTTTAATGCTGTCAATTTAGGACACACTCAGTATGAAATGTATCCAACACTAGGGAGAAACAACATCAAGGAAGCTGTAATTTCCCAATCTGTCTATCATGTGAGTGTATACACGTTAACCGGGCCACCATCATACCCCAGACAAACCCCAGGCCCTGGAGGGCATTTATCGCCCTGCACAGATCTGGTGCACCTCGGCTAAAACCTTGTAGAAAAGCCAGTGGCATCTCAGCTGCTCTTCACTCATCACACTTACAACCTGACTCAACTGACAAAGCCACAGAGCCCTGGGTACTAGATGAATTCTGGTCCTATCACTTAGCTTGACGACCTTGGCCGAGTTTCTTAACTTCTTTGAGCCTCAGTTTCTTCCTCTTTAAAATGGGAATGAGATTTGAGAGGAATAAATGGAATAACATAGGCAGCATAGCAGACATCCCCGCTAACATTAGTCCTTTGTCAATGCCAAAGACCTTTCCAGAGCCAAGAATGGTCTTGTGTAGTAACCTAGGCCAGTGTTATCCAACAGAACTTTCCATAATGAAAAAAATGTTTTATTTCTGCCCTGTCCAATAGGGTAGCCACTACTCACATGCGGCCTTTGAGCCCTTGAAATTTGACTAGTGCAATGGAACAGCTTGAATTTTAATTTTAATTAATTTAAATTTAAATAGCCACATGTGGCTAGTGGCTACTGTACTCGACCGCACAGCTCCAGACATTACTCCTTGCTCTGACAAACTGAGTGAGAAGCCAAAAGTCTGAGCTAAGACAGAGGTATTACTGGGAGCCAGGCAACGGGCAGAGGTGCTGGGTGTTGCACGTGGTGGGAAAAGTCAGAGGGATATTCAGTTAATTCAAGTCCTGCTCAGCCCTAGAAGGAAGGGCTGGTGGGACGATAGCAGGAGGCTGGCGACGCTGTCTTCTGCCATGTGACAGTGCCAGCAGCAGCTGCACAGGGCGTTAAGGTGGTTTGCAGGTTTGGAGTTAAATGGTTAGCCAATAGTGAAATGGAAGGAAGCCACCAGACAATGCTAAAATACAAATATGCCTAGCTAGGGGTTACCTGACTATGCTGGGAAGAGAAAGTTTGCACATTTTGAAAGAAAGGAACAGCAGTTCCGGGAGCCTGTCTCCAAAACAGCAGGGACTTGCAGGCAGTACAGTGTGTTTGAAAATAAATATGGAGCGTGCAGACATCCTGATGGGGGCGGGGGCGTCCCTCCCACTAAGAGACCCCGCGGGAATCCAGAGTTCTACGTTCTGGCCTAGGCTACTCTTTGTGCTCTGATAGTCACTCTATGCGGAGGCCTTCTGAGGCGCATGAACACTAAGTCTGGAGAAATCAAACAAAATTGTGTTGAGTTAAACTCTACCACATTTTCAGGGAAGAACAACATTCGAATGTTCAGTTGGGATCTCTTCCCCATCTCCCCACCTGCGAGAGTGTGTTTTTCTTTGACATTTGAGCTCGTTTCCCCTGTCTCTGATGTTTTCCTCACTGCCCTTTTTGCCTCTTCACTGAAGCAAAAAGAACAGAGCCTTGGCTAATTACTCTCAGATCAAATAATACTGGTTATTGTAATTGGTCATTGTCCGAAAACACTGAGTTCTTCTTAGCCCTGAGGTTGCTTGGCATGGCTTAGTTAGCTAACTATTCCGGGAATGTCTCTATTATCTGTTTTACTTTGCAAAAGAAACTAGGGATTTGTTGAAAGCTGGTAATAAAAGTCTGCCCTGGTCTGAGCGAGACTGCGTAGAGAGGGCCTGGGAAAGCATGACCTCCATGAATCAAGCTCCCCCAACCCCCTCCAATAGCCACTCAGTGATGTTATTTGGTTTCTCTGTGTCAGAGAATAATAAACCCACTAGGTTTTCTTGCAGGCCAACACTCCCTCATTCTCAAGGCCTCGGGCATGGTTGAGGGGCACAAAACAATTTTAATGACAACTCTCAGTGAATGTAAAATGGTTCATAGAGAAAAACTAACTCACAGGTGGCTGGCTCTCTCAGAGGCATCTTCCTGGGGCCCAGGGCCTGCAGATTGAGGTGCTCAGTAGACTTGAGGTCCAGGAAAATGTCCCTTCCAACCCTGCTGAAAGATAGGCTTTCCAGGGTGGTGCTTACCTGTTCCAGACATGCTGAAGGCTTTGAGGTTTAGACAGTGGGAACCATTCTGAAAAGCACACATAGACATGTTAAAAAACAAAGCAACCCTAAAATCCTGTTTCCAACAATATTAAAACCCTAAATGTTCTTCTTGGCTTGGAGTAAGAGAGAATTCAGGTATCAAGTAGGCAAAGTAAATGATGTTTAAGGCTTCTTTTCACTAAAAATATTTTATAATTCTGTGTGAATTCACTATTATGGGTTGGATTGTGTCCGCCCTGGCCTCAAATTCATGTATTGAAGTCCTAACCCCAAGTACCTCAGGATTTGACCTTATAGGGAAAGAGGGTCATCGCAGATATAATTAGTTAAGATGAGGTCATTAGGGTGGGTCTTAATCCGATATGACTGATGTCATCGTGAAAAGGGGGACAGAGGCAGACACGTACAGGGGGAGGTACTGTGAAGAGACACAAAAAGTCAGCCATTCACAAAACAGGCCTGGAACAGATCCTTTGCTTAGAGCCCTCCAAAGGAACCAACTCTGCCAACACCTCAATTTCAGATGTAGCCTCCAGAGCTGTGAGACAGTAAATTTTTGTGGTTTAAGCCATCTAGTTTGTGGTATTTAGTTACGGTAGCCCTAGTAAACTAATATAGTTACTATATTCAGTAAAAGTCAACAAACGTTTATTGAGCATTTACTGTGTGCAGAGCATGTACCAAGTGCTTGGAGAATACAAAAGAAGTAAAAAGAAATCTCCCCACCTTCTTGGAGATTATAATTCATTGGATAGAACAAAGTTCACTCCCATGAAAAGTCATGTGACAGATGATGGGGCAAAGTCTCAAAAGTGGTAAAAAGTAACAGGGCTAATTTCATATGTCACTTGCAGTAAAATTGGAAGAGAATCCTGGCTTGAATGATCCAAAATGGATGATAATAAAATATGTAATTATGTTTGGAGCACTCTTTATAACATTTACATGTGGTTACATGTGTTTCTATTATTCTTGGTATTGACACTAGCCCAAAATAAAACCACCATAAAAGGGAACAATTTCTCATTCATTTGGGAAATACTAATTGAATGCTTACTCTATGTCAGGGCCATAAGAGTAGCTAGAGGGGAAATAAGCTGATGTTCCTTATCAAATCCCTCTGCTTCCCATTCCAATGAGAAAAGTGTACATCAACTCTCATTTAAACTGATGTTTTTGCCTTATACTTTTCTTGGGCCTGAAATGTAATTGTTTTGGTTTCAAAAGATCTCTTCTTCCAGCTCTTACAGGAATGGAATACACTAGGACTGCTTACCCAACAAAGAATTTAATTGTAGTTGGGCAAAAAATGATTTTGCTAATGCTGACAAATTCATCTTTGTGTATATAGAGAACATGAGGTGGGAGACTGCTCACCAGATTGTGATGGGGGTCACATGGGGGCCTTCCCCTTTTTATGTCTATCTTCTTAAAAAGATTTTTTCATAAAAATCATATATTATTTTGAAACTTCAAAAGTAATTTCAATTAAAAATGGAACGATAGTGCTCTATGAAAGGAGAGAAGACTAGCACTCCCCTTGACAAGGATGGAAGAGGCCCTCAGGCCTAATGACGTGCCTGTGGTGACGGCATCACCATCCACCTCTTGGCATCTAACCACTCTTTTGCAATGGGGAGAAAAGGCAGGACAATTGTGACTGAACAACAATAAATTTAAAGAAAATGGAATTATTGTGCTAAAAGCTGTAGAGTGAAAGGAGTGGTTAAAGGAAGTGATTGAAGCTGAATTTTCAAGGTCAGATGCAATCAAACGTGAACCCCTCTGTTGGCATTTGATAGTGCCAGGGGGGCACTAAGGGAAGTACTTTAGGTACAGGTTAGTTACTCTCTGTTCAGATGATTGTGCCTAAATTCAAATAACCAGTGAAGATAAGGATATCTTGCATTTGTTGCGAAGGTTTAATTTCCAAATCACTTTTTGCTGCCTATTTACAGTTCTTCCTTCACCAAACCAAATTAAAGTATTTCCTTATTCAGTCATATCTCAATTTCCAATCAACATAATGAAATCCATTTCAATCCTCTCTCATGTTCTGTTTTTCCCTACTTAGAGCCCTATGTGTTGTTTGGCTGTTAGTATTTTAACACTATTTCTAACTTTGGCATTGTTCTTGTGGAACATGTGTTTGGAATAAATTCAATTAGGGTTTGAACACTGAACCTAGGGTTTGAAACTGCTGCTTCAGTTTCACTGAGACCTTAAGCAAGATACTTGATGCATGGCCAGCCTGCTTCCTTAACCCAAGTTGGAGGTCATTGTCCCTTCACAAAGATGAAGTGATTCACTGAGATAATGAATATAAAGTGCCTGCCCGAGAGCACTAAACAAAATAAATCCTGTTTGCTTCTCTTCTTACTCTTCCTCTGAAAAGTGATGGGCAATGTAAACCATGTGTGGTTAAGACCCTGGACACAGGTTTTGAATCCACATTGTGTCACTTACCATCTATGTAAGCTATGACATAGCTCTACATAGCTCTATAGCTACGTAACCTGAGGGTGTTGCTTAATGTCATTGGACCTCACTTTTCCCATCTGCAGGATGGGGACAGCTCTAGCCCCTGCTGCACAGGGTTGCTGTGAGAATTAGGATCATGAGTGTAATATAAATAATTCCTTACGATTTCCCGCTGTTCTTTCTGTCTCTTTCTCTTGTTTGATGTACCTACCATGCTTTTCTCTCTCCTCTCGGGTATTTCTAAGTAACTCCAAAGTTTTCAAATCTGTAAAATGGGAATAGTTTTCCCAGTTACATGGGAGCATTAGATAAGATGACACACAATGTTTAGTAGGGGGCTCAATAAATGTTAGTGTTATTCATAACTTTTTGGTTTTTTTCTTCTTGTCTTTACTTCTCATTTTAGAGAGCTAGCATGGTCTAACAGAGTGCTTCTCAAACCAAGCTGCATATTAGCAACCATCACCTGGGAGAGTCTGATTCGCCAGTCCTGGGGAGGGCCTGGCATTAGTCCATTGTGGTGGTATTATTGTCTTTAATGGTCTCCAGATGTTTCCAGTATGACACTAAGTGAGCCAGAGGAGGCTGATCTAGCAAGGAGGGCAGGGTTGACCACTCACCAGCAACTCCCACACACTTCTCAGTGAGCTTTTTGGGAGAATCCAATTAATCAATGTATATACAAATGGCAGAACATAGCGTCTGACTCATATGACATGTTTTTCAAGGATGGGAAAAAGAAGAAGTCGGATAAAGGAAATATCAGTTCACATAAATACTACCAGTAAAGGATGACCCATTAAGAGTTGCACCAGGAGACAACGTGATAACATTGAACTTGAGGTTCCATGTCTTGCATAGACTGTGACTGACTCTCTTCCCACACCTATTTTGTAGCTGCACTAGCTGAGATAGGGGTATTAATGTGTCCAGAGTCGGTCAGGTTGCTGTTATGAAGCCCAGCCAAAGCCCAATGCCTGCTTATGGCCTCCCTTCCCACTCTGATGCAGATAACCTAATGTTGAATGACCTTGTCTCTCTTGCATTGATTTTTCCCCCAGTAGTTAAGCTGCAAGCAATCAATGAGAGAATGATCCACAAACAGATACGCAATTTACACAGTACCATTTCAAGAGCAGTCTGTTTCTTTCAGTAGTCTCTAAAAATCATAAGTCTGTAGGCAGTTTATTTCCCTTCTCCCACTAAAGATGATAGTAAATCACAAGACCAGATTTTTCTTCTTCTGCAGCTCTCTTTAAAAGAGTTCTCATTGGAGTTCAATTGGAATCTGAGGTAGCAAAAGCAAAGGAAGCTGCAAAAAAGAAACTTTAAAAGCTGAACATTTAAATTTCCCAACTAAATATAGTAAAATTAAAATGATGGCAAAACTGTTGCTACCACAGTCAAATTATGCAATTTTTTTTCATAAATATTTAAGAAAGCTCTTTTCAAGAACAGTAACAGAGATTTGTTGGTTGGTTGATAAAACATCACCAGGACCATTCTGAGTCTTACCTCAAGGTAAAACATTTTCTCGTTACTATAGTCTTGTCACAGTCACCCTAAGGTTATCTTATAGGTGCTGTCTACTGAACTACACCTCTGGAATTTCCCAAATACAATGCATTCCTGAGATACCGTATATTTAAATAGCTGATAATGTTGTTAGCCTTATTTCTCTATCTCAAGCAGTAACTTTAAAACTGCACCACAAAAAGCTGAACCTCTTCTCTGGTCCGCCTGCCTCCGCACCCCAAATACATGCATCCGCACCCTGCCGGCTGCTTGCTTCCCTCTTCCTCGGTTGCCTGGCTTGAAAGCTTCCTTAGTCTTTGGCTCAAAGAGGCTAAATTTGGCTCTTCTGATGCTCTGCATTCGCAGGCTTTAGACTCCTGTTTGGGTGTCATCAGGACGCCAAAAGGCAATGTTCTCAATGAGCGTGCTCCTTGGCATCTGAGCCTGGCGCTCCAACTCACATTTGTGGTTTATCACTTTTCTAACCCTGCATCAAAACTTTCTGTGGATTTTAAGGAAATATCTCATGCTCTGAAGCCTGCCCCTAAAGTAAGGGTCTCAGCAGAGGTAGGGGAGGCCAGGCCTTGCTCCCTGTGGGTGGAAGAATGACAGCCAGGAGTCTCTTCTCTTTGCCTGGGACATTTCCATGACTAATGTCTATCCACACCCACAAGTGGTGTTTGAGCTATAGCTTGACCATTCATTGTGGATGGTATTTAATAATGCGCCATTGGACAACATTTGCCATTCCCTAGTAGTCTCAACAAATGTTTAGGGCCCACCACATAGAGGCATTGTGCTCAGTGTGTATTGTACTTGGCCTTCCCTCAACGAGCTTAAGGCCATATGATTTCAGTGGTAGATCATCATCGTCATCTGGTCTTCTGCAGACCCTCTGGATGTTCCTTCTCAGCTTCCAGAGACCCCTTTCTCCTTTGCTTGATCATTAGTACTGGTCCCCCAGGGTTTTATCACAGTCTCCTTTCTCTACCACTCTCCCTTGGGCAACTGAATTCATATCCAGGGCTTTAAATACCACTTTAAGCAGATGATTTCCATTTTTGTCTTTCTCGATCGGACTCTTGTAATCATAGGCTTGTATTTCTAATTGCTTTCTAGGTATCTCCATTTGGTGGCCCCCGAGATAACTTAATCTCAAAATGTCCAAACCTCATACTCATTACCTTTCCACAAATCTGTTCTTTCCCCCTTTTACTACCTGTGCCAGTGGGTGGTGCCATCATCCTTTCACCCGTTGCAGACACATTTGACTTTCACAGCTTAAATCCATTCAGTTACAACTTTCCTTTTACTCTGTCTCCTAGGTGCTTTTTAGATTTGTCCCTTCCATTCTTTATCCACTGCCATGGCTCTAGTTGAGACTTCCTATTTATCTTCTAGAACCTAGCAGGGGTGTCCAAACTTTTGGCATCTCTGGGCCACATTGGAAGAAGAAGAGCTGTCTTGGGCCACACACTAAATACACAGCACTAACGAAAATTGATGAGCTAAAAGAAGGTTTTAGGTAAATTTACGATTTTGTGTTGGGCTGCATTCATAGCCATCCTGGGCTGCATTTGGCCCGTAGGCTGCGGGTTGGACACCCCTGAAGAGCATTGTCACAATGCTTCTGGCCACTTTAATTCTACATATAATCTTCCAAGCAATTTCTTCTAAAATTTAAATACTGCCATATCACTTTCCTGCTAACAATCATCCAATGCCTCTCTTTGCTTACTAGTCAAGCCCAAATCCTTAGGATGATTACAAAATACTTCCCCATCTGGTCCCCATCTATCCTTCCAGATTAATCTCCAGCAATGCCCTACCACAAAACGAACATTTTAGCTTCCCTAAGCAATTTACCTCCTTGGTATATTACCAAAATACCTGCTTTTCTACTCCTCTGTGTCAAGTTCCTTTGGCTGGAATGTTCTCTTCCTCTTGTTCACCTGGAAAAAGCTCACTTAATCATCTTTGTGACCCAGCTCATACCTCTTTCTCTCATACAGTCCCTAAATTCCCCAGAAAAACCAAGGGCGCCTTTTTTCTGGTGTTCCTAGCGATTCCCCAGGGGGTGCTGCTATACTAATACTTTCCACATTGTATTATTTATTGTTCCCCCTCCAGACTGGATGCCTTGAAGGCAAGTATCAATGTCTTATTTATTCTTTAATCTCCCAGTCCCAACACCTAGCATTCAATTAATATTTGTTGAATGAATGAAAAATTGATGCTTGAATAAAAAATAAAAATGAAATAAATTTACTAAACCCTATTCTTAAAAAGCAAAAGTATCTCAAGAAAGCCCACTTGTGTATCCTGCTCTATGTCTTACAGAGATCAGTGACACATGGCACTGGCCCTGAAGGTGGGGAAGGAGCCTTCAGCTTGAGCCACTTTTATGATCTCTGTAATCCTAAGACTCCTTTTCTTGAACTAGGAAGAAACATAGAAGGGTTTTCCTTGGAACAATAATTTAACTGCCTTTCACTCATTTGCAGTTTTTCCTAATCTTAACTATTTAAAGATCTTCTAGTCCCCCTCAATAAGAACTAGTAATTGCCACCAAATAAATTAAAGATGAGAAAACTAAAAATAAATGTAGAAACTAGAAGAAACTATTAATGAAGAT